TCCTAAAATCTTGTTTTGAGATTTTGTACCATTGTTTTTATTTTTTTTTCTTTAAAATAAAAATAACTGATGTCAAAATAAAAAAAAATAAGAAAGAAAATAAAACAGGTCAGTAGGACAGTTACAATAATTAATACATTGCATATTGTCTTCATAGTGGTTATTCATAGTACAAGATGCAGACATGATATCCTGTTCAAACACTAGTACAAATCTTTCTTCTCATTGATTTAAGAGAAAGTAGCTGTATATCTATCCTAACTATTGTATATACAGATACAAAATGGTCCTTCATTTGTATCCCCTTTTATGTTTAGTTTTGTCAGAGATGAGTATTCCATTGCCGTTTAAATATTGTAGATGCATGAACTCAGCAAAATAATCCAATATAGTCCAGTAGACCATAATAGTGGTGGGTTATCCATAGAACTGGCAATGTCAGAAGTTGTTGACTTGAGCCTTTTCCAGCTCAGCATATTAATATTGCTTTACCTTTTATACTTCATTTTTATACTTTTCTGCTAGATAGTTAAGACCAAGATAAAGCAAGACCTATATGACAAGAAATATAACTTTTGTATCTGCCAAGATCAGTCAAATCCCCTCAGGATTTACCCTGAAATCCTGTACTGCAGTTTGTAGATCCTTTGTCAGTGTCAGCCATGTAGATGAGTCATGGCCATTGCTTGACCAATTTGCTCTCTGTGAAAGCCTGAGAGAATTTTTTTCTCTCCATGTGACTCTCCTTAGGCACACTCTACATCACTGATCACTTTCCTCTGTGGCCTCATAATCGCCTTCATCAGAAAATTTGGGACACAACTGAGTTACATAATGTTACAGTACAGGTTCTCCTATGTCCTGAGTCCTCACTGACCTTAAAAGGCTAGGGCCAAAATGTTGGCTGACCTTGCAGCCCTTCTTTTTCTCTAATTTTTGGTCTGCCACTTTAAGTTGTCAACCCTCCAGAAGAGAAGCTTAGTATTACCCTACAACATAGGCAGTTGAGCTTAACCTCACTATCTGTCCAAATATGAACCGCCTCAGACATAACATGGAACAGGTACTTTCCATCAAGTATTGATATGTTAAACTTTAAATCCCTACAGAATATGAAGAAAAAAAGAAAAAGAAATAAAAAATATTAAAAATAGGAATAAACAATTACATATTTTTACACAAAGTTTCAGCAATGTTAATGTCTGATTGTGTTATAATGCAGAGTAACCCACTAGGAGATCATAATTATTCAAAACTACTAAAATAATCACGTGTCTAAACAGGTTTTCTGGATGTTCTGGCAGTAAGAGGTAAATCCAAGACAAAGTACCTTTTGAGCTTGCTCGCCTGTGCTGACTTATTGACGCCTACTCTATTTCCAGCTGGGCAGAGTGCTCTACTTTTCATTTTAATATTTCAACAGAATCGTGTGTTCACAGCTGTTGGAGACAGAGCACACTTCAGTCCACTTACTTGTCTACTTTTTTAGATTTTGAGAACAAAGCATGTAGAGTTTTAAATAATTCTTTACTTTTTAATCTCAGTAAATCTAAAATTTAGCATCTTGCCTTGCATAAGCAGCTAAAAACATTTGTTTGACTTAATGTAGTTTAGTGGAACATCCAGTGTTTGCCTGAACATCCCGCTTTCTTTCTTTTTTGGGGGTGGGGGTGGAACCGGGGATTGAACACAGGCCCTTGTGCTTGCCAGGGAAGTACTTATTCTACTGAGCCATCTCCCTGGCCCACATCCTGTTTTCTTGAAAATGTTGAGTGGTCCAGGGTTATCCCGTATAGAGGCAACTAAGCATGAGTTGCTTTTGTACATTATAATATTGTGCCTTCTCCTTTTGTCTTTTGGGGTTTTTGCATGGACCGGCCTGAACACACACACACACACACACACACACACACACACACACACAAACGCATGCACTTCTGGGTACTTCACTTTGGAGCCCATTGCACCGTGAAGGGAGGAAGAAGACAGTGGAATACTGTTGCAGGTGCACTAATGTGACTACTTCAATTTGCCATGGAGATGAACTACTGCAGAGACTATTTGCTCTGTACAATTTTTTTCATGAGATTCTTTTAAAAAGCTAGCACATCCACATGCCCCCTCCCCCAATTCTTAAAGATAAGTGGTAAGGGGAAAGGTAGATTCCTGCTGCTTGGTGCCAGGAAACAGAATTTGGCTTTCAAAAGACTTCCACTTCGATGTGAAGTTTCTTTATGGGAAGGATGATGTCTGGGCCTCTTTGTACTTCCTGCACCTTGTACAGCAGTATCCAGCACATGGAGGGCAATCAATAAGGGTTTGTTTGGGTAAAAGCAAGACTTACTTGAAAGTGTCAGCACCCGGGGATGATCTCATCGGCCACTGTGTTTTGTACTGTGCCTCTAGGATGAAGTCATCCCCGAAGCAGCCGCAGAGGAGTTCCCACGAGTGCCTGCAGCCCACAGGTGGTGCTGGTACAGATCCCAAAGAAAGAAGCCATAAGGATCATTAGTGCTGCAGCAGATTCTTGCAACAACGAGAAGAGGATGGGGAGGGCTGCCCAGGTGGGCTTGCAGGGAAGGGGTGAGGGTATGTGCTCCAGGGAAGTTTGGCTCAGGCCATGGCCTGTTTCTTTCATGTTTTGGGCAACAAACTAAATACACTTATTAGTGTCTGAGAATCTTCAAGGCCCGGGCTTGAGTTCAGCATGAGGAGAAAGCCCTGCATCTGACTCGGTTGCAGAACACTGAAGGCAGTTTGTGATTTTCTGTCAGGACACAGAAAGTGTGAATATGTGGGTTGGGGAGACTGTTCCTTAACTCTCTTATATGAGTGTACCAGTTTGCAAGAGGTACAGGAAATAATTCTCTCCCTGCATTATTATTATTATTATGGTGTATGTATGGGCGGTGGCATTCTGAGACAGGATCTCACTATGTAGTCCAGGGCTAGCCTTGAACTCATGGTAATCCAATGGCCTTCCTCTCCCGAGTGCTGGAATTATAAGTATGCACCACTACGCCTGGCTTCCTCCTCCTGATACACCTGGAATTTTTGTATTTTGTCTGTACACTTTGAAATTTCTATACTTTTCTCATGCCTGACAATTAGCACCAACTTTTATTTGTAGGAGACTCAAATTTGTGAAGATTTTATATTACATTATTTAAATAATCCATGGGATACATGGCCTGGCAGGAGGAGAACTTTTGTTGACAATTAAAATGAGCTTGGCTTCCTTCTGATAGGAGTCCATTTTCTTATTTTATCCTTTCCTTAAAAGAAAAAGAAAAGAGCAGAATGCCTCTGAGATCTCATAGGAATTCCAGTTGGAAACACAGAAAAGCAGTGGACACTTCTGTAACATGAGACACCAGGATACCTGGAAGCAACAGGTGACTAACAAAGGTCACAGTGTAGGTGAGGCTAGCGCTTTGTGGCCACAAAGGGAAAGGAAAAACAGACTGAAGGCCTAGGGCAGCAGCCTAACTTGCTGGCTCAGCAAATGCTTTTCCCTATTATATTTCGGAAGAGAACAGGACTTGGAGGCCTTCTCTACCCTTTGCACTTCCTCCCGCCCCCGACTGTACCATTAAATCCTAAATACTGGGGTGACTAAAACCATAGGAAATAGATTTGCAATTGTTGAAACCCTTTCCTCCACTTTATGCATGGCAGGACTTGGTGCTTTCTTTTAACTTAACAATAGCCACAATTCAGGGGCTCCTCCGCTTGCAGGAGACAGCCCCGGACTTTGGACTATAGTTGAGTGGTGAAGTAAACAACAGGACTATAAATATCAGCGTTTCTCCTTGGGCCTTTGTGGAGCTGCCCCTGCAAAGCAAAGCGAGAGGAATCAAGCCGGTCTGAGGGAGTCGTGTAAGTGGGAATTTTGTTTTCCAATTGTTGATTGTTTTGGAGTTTGGTAAATATTTTTTGAATGTGACAGAAGATATTTTCCCCTTTCAATAGACTTAGAAAGAAGTTAAGGAAATAAAAATAATAAGGAAAAGAACAGAAGACTGAGCTCGGGTGTGGTGGGGAGAGCCTTGGTGGGCGCAGCTGACTTTTATGCTGGAGTCTGTCCTGCGCTCCGGCCGGCTCAGCACAGCACAGCAGGAGAATCCAGTGCGTTGGCTCTGCGGGACTCTGATGTTCCGCAGGCAATGTTATGTCAGCAAACTTAAGTACTGCCTGCTGACACGCAGAGTGAGGACACACTGAGAAAAAGCCTCGTGGATTTGTAGAGACTGAAATCCGCTCATTCTACAGTGCTGTGGAAATATCTAGTAATATTGCGAGCAGTTTCAGAAAAACAAGTGGTGGGGTGGTGCAGGCGCTGCGCACACTGGCACCCTTTCGGGAATTAGAATCCATGAAATCCACGTCAGAATGGGCCGGGCTGTGATTAAACAGAAAATTTCGCATTTTAAGAGCAGAACTGGTCCTCAGGGGATTAAGAAGCCTTCAGGTGCTGGCTTGAAGCCCAGAGAAGATAAAGTCTCTGCGGAGGCTGCATTTTAGTGGGGAATTAAAAACAGATGTGGGTCTGTCTGTGGTCTGCTAGTCTAAGTTTTGTCATTGAAAAGCTATGAGATTAGTGAAAGTTACAACTGCTTTGCAATTGTTATTGAATCAGTTCTTGTAAATCCAGTGTTATTATTTATCCTCTTTATTTTTATATAGCTGTTTGACAACTATAATTAAAGCCAAAAGCTTATTATGTAACAATTACTGTGAGCAAATAAAGCCGAACAGCCTATTGATTACAACAGCAGAAGAAAATCTGAGTTTGAGAATTCTTTCATCCATTACCCATGGTTTATTTTTCCAGTAGAAACCTAATTGAGGGAAATAGTTTTTTTATTTGTATTTGTTCTTTAGCCACCTGAAACTATGTCGTCAAGGCAAAGTTAAAGTATTACTGTCTTTATGATAAACATTCTGTAATTACTGAATTAATTTTTATAGCAAAAGAAATCAAATGCAAGAGCTTGTGTAAATTTATGTTTTAGAAAATGGACACACTGTTAAGAAATAAAGCAGGTTAAATTATTCTGATATTCTCTTTTCCATCCTAGGGCCTAAAGTTGGTTGCCATAGTTATTACAGGGTGACCGATCTAAAAGCTGTCAGTATGTTGCACAGTAGCCAAGAGGTTGATTTGAACCTACCAATTGAGTTGAATCCAGTTTCTCTGGTTTATGGCGCATGTGATCATAGATGTTTAAACTTGCCCTTAGCCGTAGCTTCCTCAGCTACAGAGGGGGAAAGAGTTAGCTGACATGAATACAAACTGCCTGTATGTGGTTCTGTAAGTGCTAACTACAGTAAGGACAATTGTGCTCTCAGGGCAAATAGCATCCTCAAGAAATTCCCCAGATTTAGTGGATGCATAGCTCTTGGAAAATCAGATTTTTTTCAGTGTTAGGGATCAAGCTTAAGGCCTTGTTCAACCTAGGCCACAACTCTACCACTGAACTATATTTTCAGTCCTACATATTACAATATTTAAAATATTATAATAGTGGAGATGGATTGAATTATCACCTCTCTCCTCTTTGTGTCTATCCCTCTCTTTCTTGGGTGGGGGGTGAGGCTCTTAGCAAGTTTCCTCTATAGGTAGATATTTTTGAGTTGTTAATGAACACAAAAGTTAAACAGATTTAAAGCAATTATATCCGCTGGAGGCAGGGGTTAGCTTTCTACCCATCTTGAATTCTGGGCTCCTTTCAGGTAACTTCCTGTTAGCAACTCCCGTCCAAAGAAAAGCTTTTGTTTTTTTTTGAAAAATATCCGATCAGTGCCTAAAAATATGCTGACTTCTTCGTTTTGGAGTCTGTCCCTGCTCTTTTTCCATAGACTCCTCCATCAAAATGAGCCTGAGTTACTTGGGTGGAATTTTTCTTTGCTCGTCTTGCTGAGTGGGACCCTGTCATCATCACCTCTTTAAATGCATTAAAAAAAAAATCAGTCTGCTGAGACAGCTGGCCTTAGTTTGGGGGATTTTTCTGGTCAGGGATTTAACATTTTAATTTATCTGCTCAAAAAGGGAACCTATGTGCATGAAGATGCGGCCCAGTTTCAGGAGCTTCCTGAAAGAAGTAGTAGCCATGATAGGTTGAATATAGACTTGCAGAGTCTTGAGTGATATGAGAGACAACTCCTCCTGGTCAGGTTCCGCCCACCTCGATGATATTATCATGGGCATGGAAGTAATGACATGACAGAAAATCTTATATTTTGAGAGGTTAAATTCTAATATTGGGAGCATATAGCTAAGCTTTAAGGCATGGGAAGCAAAAGGGAGCCAGAGCCAAGGTGTTTCTTCACATGGGAGGTTTGAGTTTGAAGTACTAAAGCCCTGACAAGAGCAACACTCAGGGGCTGGGGAGATGGCTCAGTAGAATAACTGCTTGCCTGGCAAACTTAAGGGCCTGAGTTCAATCCGCGGTTCCGCAAAAAATAAATAAATAAAAAATAAAAAGCAACACTCGCTTTGATAAACTGCCCTCAAGGCCATCCCTTGTCTTCTTGAGATCTTTCCGTGTTGGCTTTTATCATTTCTGTGCAGAATTTCCTACTTTCCCATTATTTTACTTCCTTAGACTCTGAGAGAGCAGAAGCAGTCGGAACTTCATATGTTGCGAATCAAGTCAGATTGTGTTTGCAGAATGTTGTATGACTATATAAACAGCAGTCGTAACGTTTAAAAGGAGGTATACATTCTGGTGAAGCCCATGGCTGGCTGACAAGGCCAATTCCCACAGCATGCTTCCTGCAGTGCGTTGCTAAGCCACATAATGCTGTGACCCCTTCCCCTCCTCTGCCTGATAACTTGCTCTTTCTAGGAAGTTGTGTGCTCATTACAATGGCACACTGGGCCCAACAAAATGAAGACAACATGTATGGGCTACATATTAAAAGAAGTAGAATTATTATCTACTGAGTCTGTAGAAATTCATTTCTGACTATGAAGCTATCCATGAAGGCTACTAGTCTACTCTTTTACAGGACAATCCCAGGAATGTGGCGGAGTCTGGGGCTTGCCCTGGCTCTCTGTCTCCTCCCTGGTGGAGGAACAGAGAGCCAGGGCCACCGCTCCCATTGTAAGCAGCCCCCAGCTTGGAGCATAAGAGATCAAAATCCCATGCTGAACACCACCGGCACAGTGGCTGTGGTTGCGCTTTTACAAGCCAGCTGATCCCTGTGCATTATGCAGGCATCCAGGTAAGGCGGTCTTTCTGTAGCTCATAATATATTTGAGGAAAAGCTATTGAATACATATACATATGTGTACATAAACCACAAATGGAAACAATATACTTGTTAAGCCGCATTTTGAGAAAAACTGTTATTTGAACAGAATCAATTAGAAAAGACCAAGTGAATATATATCAAAATGTTTATGGGTGCTTTCTTGTGCTTATGAACAGGTTTTTGGGTGGGTTTTTTTTTGCATTTTAGGGAAGGGTCTACAGGGTGTTGAGGGTCTCACTAGTAGATCAGACTCACAGTGATCCCCGTTTACAGCTTTGCAAGGCTGGGATTACAGGAGTGGACCATCATGCCCAGTCTCATTCCATCTCAGGGTGCCCTGGGGGGTGAGGCTGGCATGGCAGGCCCAGGGATCGAAACCCAGCCCCTGTGCCTGCTTGCAAAGCACCTATATTTTAAACTTTGTACTAAATATGTATTATTTGTGTGATGAAAATGTTTTAAAATATACTCCTGCAAATGTGACAGCTGTATGAAGAGGGTGTTTTTGTTTTTTTTTTTTTTTTTCCTTGCAGAACCAGGGATGGAACTCAGGCCCTTGTGCTTGCCAGGGAAGTGCTTATTCCACTGAGCCATCTCCCTGGCCGAGCATTTTTTTTTTTTAATTTTAATTTTTTATTTTTGTCAGAGTAACATGCAAACTATTCTTGCAATCAAAGGTGTTGGGTCATTTAATAAACATATATCAAAAATACTTGTTGGATTATTCACCAGATTTTCAACATTGGTTAAATTCTGTAAGACAAATTTCAAAAATAGATATCAGAAGATTAATTGGAGGACTAAATGGGCTAATGTTTGTGGAAACATTTTTTATAAGATTTTAAGTGAGGACAAAATTAAATCTAAAAAAAAAAAAAGAGAGAGTTTCAGAATCTTATCCCTACAAAGAACAAATACAGATCAGTACAAAATAATGACTTTCACAGGGAGAGAAAACAATGTTAAGGGAGAAAAGGCCTCTAAGCAAATTAAATGAGATCATTCATCTTATGTATTTCTCCCCCAAACACCTTAGACTTGAAGACCTGCGCATAAAACTGGATAAAGAAGGCTACTCTAACATTTCCTACATTATTGTTAATCATCAAGGAATTGAGTCTCAGTCAAAATACCTACATCTTAAAAAGCAAGTTTCAGACCAAATATCTGTTTATCAACAAGAACAAAACCATCCAGATGTGTGGACGCTCTTAAATGGAAATAAAGATGACTTCTTCATCTATGACAGGTATGTACCCATCCCCTCTCAAATTAGATACATGTCTTGTATTTATTTACTTTCATCGCATATAATAATCTTTGTTATTGGGAAGTGAAATGCCACATTCACTCTTCATCTCATATAATCCTTCCTTAACATTTAGAAGTAGTAACTAGGAGTTGAAAAAGAATTAATATTATGAACACATGCCAACTCCCTGCAAGGAATGTCATCATATGCACTGCAAACATGCACTAATGCAAAAATGAAAATTGGACAAAACAAAACTAGTTCTAAAAATATTTTCACCATTTGAAAAGAACGTTGACTCTGTATTCTGTATTCTCAACTCTGTATTCTGCTGTTCTCCCATGTCTTTCCTTTTCTTTGTCCTTCTTTATTTTCCCTCTGCATCCTTTCTAGTTATTCCACACAAATCTGTATTCATAAGGCCCCTTAGGTCTCCTTCTTTCTCACTTCATATTCTGCATGAGCAGTCGCTTTTGTTCTTTGACTACAAAGCTATGATCTGAGAGTCCTAAATCTGAAGCTCAAACACAGTGACCTGGTGTCTGCTTCACAGATACCTTCACAAGCATCTTAATTTCGATCGTTCAGGTCCTGACCCATTTTCTCCCAGAGTCTTCGCCCATGTTAACCTTTGTGTGTTATATAAGACAGTCTTTTGGGAGAAAGATGCAGCCAAGCAGTAACAGCGTTTCGCTGTCATGTCCCCAGTCATTCTCTGTTGTAGACATCATGGACCCCATCGTATGTGGTTGCCTTGCTGCTGTCAGGGTTTTAGGATGCTGTGAACAGGCATATGTGAGTGACTCTCATCACGCCTTCCTCTTGGGTCACTCACCAACTTCCATGGATCTTAAATCCTCAATACAGCTATCTTGTCTTCATAATCAGTATCTTGTTACTCTCTTCTTATTGCTCCTCTAGGATTTTGCAACAACTATTTTTTTTTCTTTCTTGTTTTATATTTAATAGTAAAGGATTTAAAATCAGACACTTGGGGCTGGGAAGATAGCTCAGTGGCATAAGTGACTACTTGGCAAGCACAAGGTCCTGAGTTCGATCCTCAGTACAAAAACTAACTGTTGTTGCTTTATTACCCAATACTCAATTTAAAAAATAAGCCCATTGGGGCCGGGGAGATGGCTCAGTGGAATAAGTGCTTCCCTGGCAAGCGCAAGGGCCTGAGCTCAATCCCCAGTTCTGAAAAAAAAAAAAAAAAAAAAAAAAAAGCCCATTGAAGGGCTTGGTTTCTAAAGCTTTAAAATGACTGTCTTGAAGGTAAGGTATGTAAAAGTGTTTACCATTCCAGTAGCTAAAGGACATGAAGTATGCGTCTCTGTCCCACCAGGTAAATTGACATTCTGGTTATATAAATAAAAAGATTCATTTGCACTTCACCTATAATTCTAATATAAGTATTGTTCAGATGAGAAACCTCACTTTGAAGACATTTGTTTATGCTGAGTTTATAACTTTAAGGCTAACTACTTGCATTTCAAAATGCTAAAGTATGTGTTAGGGTTGTGTCAGCTTGAGAAGTTTAGAAGTGTAAGCAATTCAGCAGGAAGCCACTAAACAGTTCATTTTGTAAAATCCTCATCCTGAGCAAGAAAGCACAGAGATGGCATGAGTGCTATAGCCAGGCACGGGCCAGCCTGATCATAGCATAGAGGAAGAAAAAGGACTTGCTTGTCCTCTGCCCATTTTCGCCCTTGCTGCTTTTGCTGTCTGCTGCCACCCTGAACTGTTGCCCTTCACCATTCCACCCTGTCTTGGAGCCAGCTGATGATGGACTAGAAGTTCTGCAAACTATGAACTAAATAGACCTTTCCTTAATTTGGGGTGTCTGGTATTTTTTCTCAGTAATGAGAGAAAAGTCACTAAGACAGCATGTTAACCATTTAAGTATGCTCTGCATGAAGGTGTTTCTTGATTCTGTGAACAAATATTTATATTTCAAGAGAACTTCCCTGCATGTGTGTCTTTTCTCATTTCTGAGACAAAATGCCCAACACTCCAAATTAATGGAGAAAAGGGTTATTTTAATGTGGGGAGAAGCTGAGCTGGAAGTGGACCACATGTTGGGGGCTAGAGCAAGGCCAGCCCTGCGAGCGCAGAGCACGGAGGTGAGCCTTGTAAATGAGCAGGGCTAGCGCAGAGCCAGCCCAGCACGTGTCTGGCCCATGTGAACTGCAGCAAGAGAGCTCCAAGAATGTTTTTCTCTCAGTGTTTTCAGTGAAACACTGAGACCTTGCACTTCAACTCCATCCCCCCTCCCTTTTACTGTGTATAAATAAAGACACAGACCATGCTGGGCTGTCACTGTCTCTACATCAGAGAGGTTTCATTATGTATCTAGTTTTTTCTTAATCTCCTATCGTCTTCTTTCAGGATGCTCCTGGCTGCATGGGTTGGAGCATTTCAGCTTAGTATTTGTTTTTTTGATACAGGGTCTCACTACATAGTCGAGACTCCTGTCTCAGCTTCCCCATCACTGGGATTGTAGCTGTGTGCCACCACACCCAGTTTCAGGGCCAGCATGGCATGCAATAGAAGGGATCAAACTTGGGTCCTTGCGCTTGCCAGGCATCTGCTTAGACCACAAGCTATCTCCCTGCCCTCAGCTCAGTTAGTAGAGGTTTCAGTCCATAATTGGGTGGCTCCAGGGTAGGGTGGCATGGCAGAAAAGAAATATTTCATAACATGAAGAAGTTAAAGCAGCAAAATAGCAAGTTACAAGAAACTACAGCAGCCCTCTTTCTGCCCCATTAATTGTGTCCAAACTACCCTTCCCTAGCCTTGCCCAGGGAGGGCCTTCCCATTATCCATTCCCAGAACTAGGTCAAACCAATCACTGTGCTGATATATA